GTAATAAAATATAATAGAAATAAAATTAATCCAGATTTACTTTGTTTACTCAGGATATATTCACCAAAATTACACTCGTGCATCAAAATAAACAGATAATTTTACATTCGAGCTTGCCTTGTAAAAACTGCATGAATTTATTTTCACATTGGAACGAAAAATCAAACGGTTTAGTCGCATAGCGTATGCCGTGCCGTATAGCGTGAATAACCCTGTATACATCATAATTTTTTAAGGTGGTGTAAAAGCTCTGATCCTACGGTGGCTTATTTAGTACTTTTTTTTTCAAATTCACACAACAATCTACTAATTCTTGATCTTTTCCCATAAAAACCAAACCGATATTTTCAATGACTCAATGTTTGGGTCAATTGATGTTATTGTAAACACGACACTATTAAGGACACATTATCTTCCCTACTCACCATTAATGACTGTGAGTCATTTAAAAACCGCAGGCACATTGATTTCGATGTTGCAAAAATGCTGTGGCTTCCCAGATGCAGGCAGATTGAATTGAAGCCGGTATTTCCATTCAGGTCGAGATTGCACAGCGTTTCCATTTTTCGACGGGCAGAATTCGTATGATGTTAGTCATCAATGGATGGAATTCTCCCCGATTTTTTTTAGCACAAAAGTTTATTAGCACTGATCTGCTGGGGAAACGTCGAGCAACAAAGGGGTAGTGCGCTATAATTAACAAATAGCTGTTTGGTTTCCAAGGGTGGTAACTAAGGCCGCGATGTTTCTACCTACCCCCTAAACGTTGAACTTTTCCGGTGAATTTTCAAATTGCATGTATTGGGTCAACTGACAAGGATTCCATCAATTGAGGGGTTTGCGATCAAATGGGTCATCAATAAACAAGAGTTGTGCTTTATGTCAATTCAGCATTTTTTCTTTTTTTTCTTTCCTAGATTCTCCTTAGTTTTTTGTGATATTTTTAACTTTTTTCTTTGGGCAATATCTAGACTGCTCAACAACTGATCGCTTCAAGCGATTTCGCCTCTGTTTGAATCCTTATTTAGCTCCGTTGGTGTTCTGTTCGTCCATATTGTGGTGAACATTAAGATACTTTTCTACAGGTTGGCAAATGAAAAAAGGCAAAATTGCGGAAAGTTCGGCATGCTCCTAGTTGGACAAAACATTTTGGATCTCAACACCAAAAATTTTAAGGTAAATCAAATAGCTCGAAACGGTTTTTGAATTTTTCGGTCATCTTTTCTATTTACAGGGTCGTCAAAAAAATCAACCTTTTGGTCTTGCAGCGAAAACTTTTATCTCTTGGGTCGATTTTCACAATCTAGAGCTCATGTTGAAGCTTAAATTTCATAGACGATTTAAGATGAATACTCGACATACAGGGTTGCACAAAAAATATCCAAATTAGAGTTGTCCTCAAAATATGTGATTCTGGAATAAGTAGTACTTGCTTTCAAATATTTCGTTCATTCGTGAAGCTCGGTATTTTAATTTTTTTTCTAAAGTCGGCAGTAAAGACTCAGCTTCAACAGGATGCCTAGATTTTGCAAAACGGTTAAATACGAAACAACAAGTAGATTTTTTTGAGACCACTCTGTAAAAAAGATTGGCGAAAAATGCAATAACTTATTTCTAGACACAAAGTTTGTCTTAATGTGTGTGGTATTGAAATACAAGAAAAAAAACGTTTATTTGTCCAACGGAGAGCATGTTGAACTTTCATCAATTTTGCATTATTTTACTTGCGACTCTGTAGAAACTTTATCTGTAGTACTAATTTGAAGTGCGGAATTGCACAGTAAGAAAGAAACTCGCAAGAAGGCAGTAAGAATTTATTCAGTTCGAAAGCTAGTCCAAATTTGTGAGTGTAAATTTGATTTTGTTGAGCAGTTTACTGTACTTACTCCTGTAATTACTTGTAAATGTTAATATTTGATAAGTAAATAACGATACAATAATTTGATTATGAGCAATTGGTTTAATAAGTAGTAAATCAGATCCACTTGTTTTCCTGCTTGTAATTCATCTAAGAACGGTTTTTATCTGCAAACAGTAATTCTATTTGTAGAGCGCAACGATTCACACGTATATGAATAAATCGTATATAAAAGCAATTAAATCGGCAATTCGTATTCAAATTCCGTTATCAAATGGTAATGAACCATAACATAATGCGAGAAATGCCATGGATTACATAATTTTAATTAATTAATTTAAGCAGAAAACCTAAAAAGGGTATTCTAGTTTCATCAATTGTCTGGAATTATCATGAGTAATTTTCAAGTATTCTCTCGCTTAGCCCAGTGCGGGAAGCCCATATGCTAGAAAAATTAGTTTTAATTATTTCAAATGATTACAAAGCACAATAAGGCCATATGGGAGAATTTCAAAATAAGGAGGGTGCAGACTTTATGTCTATTAGGGTGGAAGATATTTACTATTGTCTAGAAAATCGATTGGATTCAAAGCCATTATAAACTATTTTTTTCTTAAATTATTAATATATAGGTTATAAGTGAGTAATTACAATTTTCTAGTTGATTATTTGACAGTATTTCACTCAATATGTTGATTTTTCGTTTCATCAATTTTTGTTAACGTAAATTCGGACATCGACGCTGCGGATGAATAAATAAAGACAACTAAAATCATTTACGCGGTGGTCTTGGTTAAAGATCGTTAATTTTAATATGCAAACAAACATAGAAATTCAGAAAATGCAAAAAGCATCTAATCTGTAACGACACTGCATATTTTCATATATAAAAAGTTTTCGGACCATTTAAAAAAAACTGATCTTGTGAAATTTTTATTTAGTCCATTATTTCTGAGATTTTCAAATTAAAATTAGTTTCAGATCCAGTCCGCTCTCATTACAATTTGAAACCTCACAAACAAGTAGTCTTGAATATGTTCGAAAAAATTAAACAGTGACATTAAAAATGGATATGCAATCTAAACACAAATTATAACATTTTGTTAACTAACAGTAAGGAAAATATACACATGGTATGTATTAAATTAAATTCTATAATTGGTAAGCTCCAATTTTATCACATTTTTCAGATATTGATGCAATCGAATTAATCATCGCCAGTATATAATTGATGCCTACTTTGTAATATTTTCTGACAAACTTCTTCAATTCGCTCAATTAAATTTTCACATGTATGACATATCTTTCACACAATCTTTTTAGATGTCCCCATACATAAAATCTACAGGCGTCAAGTCTGGTGACCTAGCTGGCCACCCGATTGGCCAGTGTCCTCTGCTCAGTTAGGTGCGGTATCCTTGTTGCACCAACCCCACTTCCATTAATCGTTGAAACCACTGTACCGGAGAGTACCAAATTGAAAAATTATTGAAATTATTGCTCAAAAAGTTGAAAACTCTTTCGAGTTCGAACGTGTCGGTAAAAAAATAGATCAACCACATATCCATTTATTACTCCCAACCACACATTCACTATAAACTCATGCTGGAAGGATCGAATACGAGGTTCTCTAGGGTTTACCTACGACCAAGTTTTATGTGAAAAATGTGAATTTAAACAGAAAGTTTTTTTTTTCAAAAACAGTTTTGCAGAAAGTGACTCCTAAAATTTTATCACCAGAGAAATAGATTCTGTATTAGAACTGGAAAACAGAACCAATCACATCAAACAAGGACAAAACAACAAACCACTGTTACATACTTTAAGAAGGAAAAACAATTAATGGCTTAAGGATAAAATATATAAACAAAAAACAAAAATATATACCTATACATGGAAAAAGACCGACCTCATAATATGCGTAAGCTGTCTATAAATATTAATTGCCCAAGGCAATGCATTATTTTTTGTTCTCTATTTTAGTTAAACTCTTAATCTGCGTGTAGCTGTTGTTCGTGGAGATGTCATTGTTGGATGTGATTGGTTTCATTTTCGGACCAGATATTTATTGTATTGCCGATATCGCCTTCGCTTACTTTATAGTGGATTTTGCTCTTTTAGCCGTTAAGAACACCTCAACAAAGGCCGAAACGTCAGGACATAAAAAAAATAACGTTATCGCCTTTGTCCTACACCTGCTATTTTTTGAACTTAACTTGGCTATTGGGACGCAAAACTAAACGAAATTCTACTTCTAACGTCAGGTTACATCGTTTTTTCGTGAGGCTTTTGAATGAAAGCTTCAAATGAAACCGGTTTTTAGATCTTCTTCAAGTTTGAAATGTATGAAATGAATAGTGGTATCTACTCTTATTATTCCAAATAGGGGGATTTGAAGCTCCGATATCATCAAACATACAAATCACACTTACAATTTAACATAATTTTCAATCATGCAATTAATCAAAAATTAAATAGTAAAAACTTAGTATTAATTTGTGCAAATAAATCAAAATTTGCAAAAATACTACTGAATCGATTAAAATATTGCACGTTAATACATTTTTCAAATTCCAAAGCAAAATGTTCCATACTAAAGAACGCCTTTTGTTGTCACCTTTGGCCATAAGCCTGCATGTGTAGAAATATATGCATACATAGTGTATAAATAGTTCTATTTCGTTTAGGACATTGATTGATGCACCCGATAAAGAAACCGATCCCGTTCAAAGTACTCGGGCATTTGGTAATTACTATGCTCGAAATACGAAAAAAAAACTGATTACATGATGATAAATAGATCTTAAACGTCTGGGAGTGTTTCAGTACCAATTAAAGCGGCCTAGGACTATGCATTTGGGTGATTATGATTGACGCGAATGCATGAGGGAACCAAATAAAAAAAATTAACGTTGCACTCTAATAGGGGCCTATTAATTGTGTGGGACTTCTGGGTTTACGTGACACTGAACACGGGCATTTATGGAAAAGACTCCAGTCTCAAGAGTCCCGACCAATGTGGAGAAATGCCTTTTTAATCACGCTGTTGTTAAAATTGTTTTCAATATTTCATCATTTTCTTTGGAAATTGAACATTTGAAATAGTGGCATGATGTAGGTAAATACATTTTTTATGTTGCAGATGGCTGTAGATTTCTGGATGCCTACAACGCAAACACACGAGACAACGGGTAAGTGGCAAGAATAGTACGTGAAAATTTGGTGATTTTAAGTCTCTGCTGCAGATGTTCTTGAATTTTTCAAGTGCCCAAGCATACATTTTACTGCGCCTTCTAACTGAAAATTAGCCAAAAATTTGAACAACCGAGCAAAGTTTAGTAAAGTAATTTCCATTGCAAAAACACCAACTGATTGATGAAACCCTATTATAGATCTTAATGGTTCGAATCGATCTTAATAAAACTATGGCATTTCCGGATCTTGAGTTAATATCTACCGCTTCGCGACCAAAATACGTCTGTTGTATTATGGGAGTGTTTCTTCAAAGAAACAAAAAATAATTGAGACAACAAAAAACGCATAGTGGAAATTAAAAACATTACCCCCAATAAATAGAAAGCATTGTGGATATAAAACTGGTTACATTCGCTTAATGCGAAGTGAATTGGGACACACAAAGAATAATTCAATAATTACCAGGCCGGTTTAATGAATGTTCCCAATCATTTGCAAAACATCGGTTGGCTTTATAAAATTATATTTCACACAGCCCGGATATGTGCTAGTCGATTATATATTGCCAATAACAAACGGCTTGCATTCTTTTCACCCTATTTGTAGGAAGACGTAAAGCCGTTTTAAAAGTTATTTTACCACAATATATGATGAGTTTTTAGTTTCAGTCTGAGAGTGTTCTTCAAGTATGTCTTTGATTGCGCTGAAAATATGCAATGGATTTTTAATTGCTACCTCTACTTACTATTGGAAAATTATTATCAAAAACCGCTTAATTCGGAAATACACTAGTCACTTCTGTTTGGGATATTCCGTTCTATTGTTACTTAACTTAATTGATTGAAAGTTGAAATAGCAGCAAAAGTTTAATCTGCGACTTGCTCCGCCTTCGTTTCCTTGCACTATTCTCGTCGCGCATAACATAATGGGTAATTTTCTCAGAAACAGGTGGAGTTCGTTCGCACTTGGAAATTGTCGTTTTCTGAGCGTTATCCGCAGTCGTAAAGCTGAATTTTCTATTAAAAGCCATTCTTTGACATAGTGGGAGAAAATACGAATATATGAAGTCACTTCGGTCATTGAAAATAATTACCGTTCGAAGGCATAGGTTCGTTCTGTCAGTTGGAAAAAGTAAACGACATAAAAATTACTTTTTAATTCGAAATGGAAAGCAATTACAGTTAGGCGGCAACCAGAAACGTTGATAAAACCACATATAAACAAAATTTGTAATTTTCAACGCCAATGGGCTTCACCGCCGCTTAGATGTTCTCGAACAGGGCCGTAATGTCCAAGGGAAAGTATGCGAGGGAAAATGTCTCTACAGTTGAAAACTCGTGCTCTTGAAACTGGTTCAAAGCCAAATCACGCCAAGCCTGGTTAAGCGAGCAATTGTTTCAAGAACAGTAGGACGATGCCAGAACAAATGCTTTCAAATCATGCAGATCCCGTCCTGACTGGTAGATGCAGTTTTTTGCAGATGAAACGAAGAAACCGAGCGAACCATTTCAAATATGCATGCAGACGAGTAATTACTAAATGCAACAGACCTTGGCACCGAGTATCTAGTTCTAATTTTTAAGGTTTTACTGGTTCTTCGGTTTTTGTATTCAATATGTAAAAGTTCATCATCCACAGCAGCAATAATTCGCATCAGCGCAAGTGAATAAATGTTATTTCGTTCTTATTTACTAATTCTACTCTATGAAATCGCTTGAATAGTGTTGCTCATTAGTCACTTGCCAGATCAGTTGCTTTTTCGTGATGTCCTCTATTATGTGTTCTTGATATCGGTCATTCGCAATATCCTTTCATTCGTTATGTGCTGCAAGCTCGATATTCCACAAAATTTTCACAGGGCATCTATTTCAAGGGCTCGTACTTTGTTCTTGTCGGCTTCAGTTATCTTCCATGCTTCCGCTCCAAACAGTGCTATGCTCTTCACAATTGTATATGTATATTTAGTACCTATTTAGTTTTGTTTTCCTTGAAATGTAGTTGTACCACCAAATTCCGTTCAGTCTTTTAATAGCTCGTCTTTCCTGTCCTAAACATCCTTTTATTTCTAGGAAATATTTTCTTCGCTGTTCAACTCTCTGATATATTTGTATTTGTCACACTTCATGATTGTGTTGTCTGCGATTTCCAAGTCGTCTACCTTGTTTCACACACACGTACAGTCTTTGTTATATTCATTGATAGACCAAATGTTTCGTATTCTTCTTTAATATTTCGAGTCGATATAAAACAAGAGGTGTGGTTGACTTTTGTTTCTTCAAGGCCCATTCATAGTTGGGATATAGGGATGCTATCGTAGGCCTTCCGAAGGTCTATAAAGAGTAGAAGGTTTTCTCTATTGGTGGCAATTTTCTTGTCAGCCTGCACGAAAACCACTTTGTTCTTCTGCCTCATGCTCTTCGTATTCCCTCTCAATTGTGTCTCTCAAAATTCTACCAAACAATAGTCGAAATGTGGATGTCACTGTTATGCTCCGATAAATTATGCCCCGATAAATTCCGCATTTTTTTGTCCG